GTTTGTTAATGTTTGAGCGCTTAATCAGCTGACTGCAGTCCTGGGACACATTAAACTTTTTCAGTTGGTAGGAAATTTTGAATTTTGCCCAGGTTGCGACTGAAGCCTATTCTTATTGATTTTAGACAACTAAGGGATCGTGAACGTGCGCAACTTGCACACGGGCCCTCCGAGATTTTTCGCCCTTGTCCGAGAAGGCTAGGTGTAGATCTTTCCTACCAGAAGATCAGGGGTGTGGCTGAAAGACAGCAGTAAGAAGGAACCATGGAGTAGCAGTAGAAAGGCTGCAGAAAGAGTCAGGGGCCCAGAGGAGGTATCAAAGGAGGTGAGGGGATGGGGGCAGAAAGAGGAGACGAAAGCATATGACAGAACATTGCTAAAGAACAAGAAAGGAGGTGAAAGGAGACACTTTTAGAGAAGAACATTTTTCGGTCGCTACCCGGAATCGAACCCAGGATCTTTGACTCTAGGCCACGAGAGCCGCCAGAATATTTCTAAGTGCTGAAGGGTCTGTTGAGGTAATAACATAGTGTACTGTACAGCGCAGAGATCTTGCTGTTGAGCGTAGATGTGCGGAATACAAAATGCTATTTATTTATTCATTTCATCAAAATATAAAGCATGATTCTTCCATAGACCTTTTATTAAGGCAAAACTTTGTTCACCTAAAGGGATCAACTTAACAAAGACTTTTCCACGGCGTGAGAGTTCAAACATTTCGGACAAAGGTCTGAAGTTTGAAATAAATTTCACAATAACTGCACATCCGCATGAAAGAGATAACAACGATAACTGAACTGCAAGACACATTTGTGTGCAACCCCCCACCCCCTCCCCATATTTTTTTTTCCTTTTTAAAAAAAATCAGACGTTCACTCTCATGTGGTACCTCTCATAGTCGACCTTATGAAAGAGACTATTTTATGCATAAAGCATGATATTTTATAATACCACCTTCTTCTGAATCTAGGTAGTACTTTTCCTGGGGGGTTTTCCCACGAAATTTTGATAATTAAACAGAAGGAAGGCAAAGAAATCACCGTAACCCAATGTTCCGTATGTTTCAAACGCTTGAAACCAAAATATGTTACGAGTTTTACCCTCTGTTATTACTGGAGACAGTCGATGATTCGGAAATTATGCCTCTGGACTAACTTATTCCGTATTGCCAAAAAAAGGCGACGCCTGATTGGGGAGGGGGGTCTCGGTTAAACGAGATCGTGTTCTTATCATTCGCTCCCGACCCCTTTTCTCCGTTATTCAGCTGAGCTGGTGTCGATTCAATATACATATCAATCTGGGTTCACCGAAAAGCTGTGAATTTCCCCGCCTGAGGGTCACGACATCTAACGCGGCACGATGATTTGTCAAAACAGATTCCTGTTTTTGCAATTTACTCCGTCATGCAAATGAAAAGCTTGCTCTTTGCTGGACCAACAAAATAATGGGAAGATATAAATAAGCAGTCCTATCTGGCAGCTCGTGAGAAAACAGGCGTACCACATGTCAGTGCCGATGTGAATTAATTGCTGTTAATTAAGTTTAAAGGGAGCTAATGAGAAAGAATACAGCTTTTTGATGGCTTTCTGGCCAGAGAAGTTAAGGTTTTATTTGGCTGATATATTATGAGAGCGATATGTAAATGGAGCGCTGTGAAAGTAAGAAACAAAAAAATAAAAAAACAACCCAAAAAAGCCCCCCCCCC